ATTCATTGTGCAGTGTAGAGAGCTTCGTCGATTATAATGGAGTTTTGTGAGATCGGGATAAACTAAGGAGAGTGACAGCTTTTAATGATTATTAAGGGAGTTTGCAAATGTGATATTGATTTAATACAACAGTTCATTAAACAAGAAGTTAATATTAAGTGACTTATATTGTCTGACAACAGCACAATTGCCTTATTTTGCTCTATTTCATCAACGAAAATAGTAAAAAAAAAAAAAGTAACAGCCGAGCCGCTGCGCATCTTCATTCAAACACAGCGGTGATTCTTTTATGAATGAACTGCGTTTTTTAAACGAATCTAGTGAGTCAATGATTTAATTACCCATTCATGAAGACAGTCACGTACTTTCGTTCCTGAATGATTCAGCTGTTCGAACAAATCAATTGAATGAATGCTTCAGTGATAAAATCAGTGACTTGACGCCACCTGCTGGCGGGTTTTGTTTAATTTTTAAAGCATCTTTTCTGTTATTTAAATCATTTCTATATTCAAAATGTTATATTTAAAACATTAACCTCAACATGAATTTATGAATTTAATTGCACTCATGTGACCTCTGAGCCTCATTAAACGTCTGAAAATACACATACAAGCCACTTGTGTGTTCTTCTGTGCCATCTCTGTAGCACAAATTTATTTCTTAAATACTGATTTCATTTGATTGGTAACTTATTCTTATTCTACTTCTTATTCCACTTGTTTTTATTCTGTTGTTTTAATTAGAAATGTTAAAAAGCTTATAAATATATTTTTTTGATTTTGACATAAAAGATTACATACTTTTAATAAAGTTAGAAAAATGACATTACAAAGCTAAAAACAAAATTTCCTATAAATCACTTTAAGGAGTCAACTATCACCTCGTAATGGGAAGGTTAATTTTTTATTAGAATTTTTGATTACTGATTACGAAGGTGCTCTTAAATTTTTTAAATTAGGAGCACAAGCGCTCCTAAAAAGAAAAGTATCCGTAGAGCCCTGATAAACAAACGTTACTCCGCATGCGCGCTTTTGTGGCCCAAACTTAACTTCCGATAGACTTCCGCAAAGAATCAATGACAACAGCAAAGTCCCTCTAGAGTAGATTATTTCTAATAACAAGCAAAGTATGTTTTCTGCGTAAAACAGACGGGCTGATTTGAAAATGCAAATTCATTCTCTGCCAGCAGGAGGTGCTTTTGAAGTAGCAGAGATGGAGGTTTCCCCGGTAATGGCTGTACACAAAGCAGCGCTCCGCTCACAAACACTGCTTATCAGGCATTACATGCAAGATGAAATGAAAATTTTCTGAAGGCAGTGATATAAAAACTCCCGTGCCGCGTTTTGATTTTGAAATGTGCAGTGCTTATGTTTATTCAACGAAGTCAAAGCCTTTTGGAAAATCTTGTGGTGGTCAGTTTTCAGATTGTGACGGGCCGCCACAAATAAATCAGTGTATGGGAAACACATCCCACAGCACTACAACCTGAGTCCAACTTCAGTCTACTCATCACCTTAACTTTAACTGCGTTTGTAGTCAGCGCCACTAGCCAGACCGATAAACAAACACAGAACAGGAAGTTAACCGGAAGTTCCCCTATTATTTTAGTTAAAGTTTATTTGAGGTAACAGAATTTTTTTTTGTTTTTTGTTCCTTTCATGGTTTTAGTTTTTGTTATCTATAATAACCCTGAGTTAAAGAACTTTCTCATGGACAAAGAAATTTTTTGTGTTTGAGAATTGTTGTCCGTTTTGTGTGTGTGTGTGTGTGTATTATAAGTTGTTTTCCCTCCCCCATTACATTAATTTCAGACTAAAAAGTTGCAGTTGATGATTTACAGTTTAGTTTCAATACATACATGGTCCAGATGGACTAGGGAGGGAGTGTTGAATTTTGTCACACATTTCATCAAAAAAAGAGCAAGAGAAATCCCGTTTTCCATGATTTGACCTTTTTAAGTTCCGGTTTGGCTCAGGTGGCGCTGCATTCATACGTAACACTAACCTTATCATTTTGCTTGTGTGTTGTAGGAAGCGTACTCTGTGGCCCGACAGTTCAACCAGATCCCACCAATCTGCGAACAGTCGGAGTATCACATGTTCCAGAGGGAGAAGGTGGAGGTGCAGCTTCCCGAGCTCTTCCATAAGATCGGTGAGTGATGCTGCTGTAGCTCAAGCCACAGAAACACTGAGCTGATGCATCTTTTCAATGGGGTTTGACCTGTCTTCTCAGGTGTGGGTGCGATGACATGGTCCCCGCTGGCCTGTGGGATAATCTCAGGGAAATACGACAGCGGGGTGCCAGCCTACTCTCGTGCCTCACTAAAGGTACTACATATCCCATGAGTCTCCCTGTCTCCTCCTCCTCTTCCTGGTGGCCTCATATGTGATTCCTTTGTGTTTGGTGTTCTAATGTGAATGTGTTCCGTGTCTTCCAGGTTCTGTAGTTGGTGTTTTCCTGTAGATGTGTGTGTTGTTGATGGCATGAATCCACACGCCTGATCTTCAACATATATTTCTTTATGTGAATGAGTTTCTATGGTAACTCTGAGGAGGATTGGCACTTGTTTTATCAGTGTTTCCATCTCTTTCAAGCACACTAAACCACAGACACAAGTGCACACTAAAAGCACCCGTTTCCCGAGCTCTATATTGGCATAGTCGCATGTTTTTGGCTCATTGGTGTTTTTGTGACCCATCATCTTCCTCCTGTAGTCTTGTGTCATACTGTTGATCATTCCTGATATCTTGTTACCTTTGTGTAACGTACATGTGGATTGACACTTGACTATAACAGAACCGTGCTGGTGGTCTGAACAGTGATGGGTCCATTGGATTTGGAGACCCATGAGTGTTTAGAGCACTAGACCACACTGGTCCTTTTCCACTGTTAATTCATATCTACCAATGATGGACCTGAAGCTGGATTATTTATCCTGCTCTAGCACACACACAAACATGATTTTGCTAGTCAGTGCAAATGATAGGTTTTACTTTAAAGTCAACATGAAGTCCAAATTTACTAGAATCTGACATTTACTTAGCCAAGCTGTTCACTTAAGCCAAGCAAACTATTGGTTAATCGGTTGGTTAGCCTGTAGTAAAATAGCTATTTAGTTTCAGTGTTATTTTAGTAGTATTTATATACTACTATAGTAGTTATTAATATTTGAATTAGCTTTTATTTTTTTATTTGTGTGTGTGTGTGTGTATATCATTTATTTAATTATATTATATTTTCAGTTGTCATTTTAATTTAAGTTTTGGTTACTTTGATTATATGCTTTTGTCATTTTTTTAAATATTTATTTTGCATTTGTTTTTATTTCAGTTTTACTTAGCTTAACTTTTTTTTTTTTACTTTTAGTTACCATTTAGGTTTTAGTTCCTTTAGTACAGTACATCAAGTTAAACTAATTGAAAATGAGATGTTGCAACTAGCTGAAGTAAATATATATTTATATTTATTTATATATATATATATATATATATATATATATATATATATATATATATATATATATATATATATATATGTATATATATGTGTATATGTGTGTGTTAATTTCTAAATTTATGTGTGTGAAACAAAAACATTTTATTTTATGAATATATATCTTACATGCACACACAAGTGTATGTATGAAAAATGTATATAATAAAAACAATTATTTTTAAATGTAAAAAATTTGTGCTGTCAAACAATTAATATATATATATATATGTATATATATGTGTGTGTGTGTGTGTTAATTTCTAGTATTCTAGTATATTTTTAGTAAGTTTCTAAGTTTTTAATTTAACATTTCTATTTTTTTCCCAAACATTTTTCTTACATTTTAGATTTTTGCTCTAGTATTTATATATTATTTTATTACGGCTTTATTTAACTCTTTCCCTGCCAAACATAGAATTTTCTGAATGAGTCTAGAAAGTGCCGATCAAAAACATAGTATCAACACTAACCGCATATGAATGAAAACTGCCTAATGTTACAGAGTGAAATATCAATCCAGAAAAAGGCCTGTGCATGCTTTGGGAGTACTGATGGAAGCCATCTACTATATGTTTGCTTTGATAATATTACTGAATATGATCCAGATATAGTATTTGATAAAAATGCGATTTTCTCTGCTTTTTGCTCAAAATGTTGCTCTTTTAATTAAACCTACCTACATGCAAGTGCTAATAAAAAACAAAAACAATGCTTGAAGCTAGAATAAAACAGATTTTTTTTGTTTGAAAGTAGAGGGTCTGATCTTTATTTTGACATATTGCATGTTCAGATATTCATACTACAAAATATTCTGGGGGTCATGAAATTTTTGCGAAAATCAGCAAAATCGCAAGCGGTAGCTGGCAACTTTTTTCAAAAACGCTGGCGGGGAAAGAGTAAAAAAAAAAAAAAAAAAAAAACAAG